TGTTGCTACAGGGTGTGTGTGCTCACTAGAGAGACAGAGACAGAAAGCAAGAAATCACCCCACGGGGGGATGGCCACACCACAATCTCCTCTTCTTCATTCTACTCTCAGGATTCGGGGCATGCACACACATGTACATGTACCCAGCATGAGTTTCAAGCCACTGGGTCTGGGACTCAAACCACAGTCAGCCATTGTGGGAGTCCAGCGATTAACCATTACACCATCTGCTCGTCCCTGTGTGGAGGGCCGCATATTAGATCTTGCACATGAACAACTGTTTGTCCATTTTGTTCCCTTACCCTAACATGGCTGTCTGCTTCTGTAAACCTGCTTACTCTTCCCATGAGAAAATAGCTCCTGCTAGCCGTATAGAAAACCATATCCGGGACGACATCCTGTACCTGCTACTGTCTTTGCTAACTAGCCCGAAACCCTTTTGTTTCGCAATGTAACTGCTTACGTGGAAACCCCACTCCTCTCAGAAATAATGAACCTGCTTGATCCAGCTTCTGTAACTGCTTGCATAGAAACCCCTGGTAACTGACCCCCTATAAAAAGACCGCTCAAACTTCCATTGGGGCTGCAGTTCTAACTCTCGGTACCCTCCCACCCACCTCCCCACCCCTACCCATGAGCCTCGGGCTGTAGTCGCTGGCCAGCTAATAAAGACTCCCTTTAAATTTAATCTGGCTTTGGTGGTCGTTCATTCAGTGGCAATATACAACACCAGAGTCAGGTTAATCCTCAATTTTCATTGAATCAGCTGTGCAAAGGGAGCAAAACGGCACTGTTGAGAGACAGCACATCACCTCCTGCATTCCTCTGAAAGTTCAGATTTAACTCCAAAAACTAGGAAAAAGCACATAATTCATCAGATGACCAGAGACCACCACAGAGGCACAAGGAATATGAGAAACCAAGAAAATATCTCTCCTCTAAGGGAAAAGAATAACTCCTCTTTCTCCACAGAGAATACAATGGAACTCATGGAAATGTCAGGATCAGCAGTTGGCGTAATGGCTATGTCACTGGACTCCAATGTAGTCGACCGCCGTTCAAGTCTCAGATCCAGTGGCCTAAACTCACGCCGGGTGTGTGTGTGTGTGTCCAAGATCCCAAGAGGAGAATGGAGGAGAAGAGACTGAGGTGTGGCCATCCCCCCTGGGGGGTTATTTCTGTCTTTCTGTCTCTGTCTTTCTGGTGAGGGCACATGCCCTATAACAAAAACCTCTCCAAAAATAATAATAATAATAATAATAATAATAACTTTAAAAAAGAAGAAGAAGAACCTCAATTGTTGTCCACCTTGGGAATTGGGCCTCTTTGAAAAATGATCAAGCCACATGCTCTCTCTCGGGCCATGGTCTAATCTAGGCCGTGGCAGAAAAAGTCAGGAAGCAGGACTTGAATTGGCATCATGCCTTTTAAACAGTGTTCATGCAGACAAACTTTGGAATGTAACCAATCCAATTGTTTCTCTACCTCATTCCTTCATGTCGGTTTTTGTATGTCATTTTTCCCTTTTCCAGAACTTAAATACTGAAGGGTCACGAGGCTAGCTTGAGTTGTTTGGAAGTCCAAGGACAACTGCCCAATTTAAAGTATGTTAAGATTTGCTCAATTAAAACCCTATTAAGTTAGCTGGTTTCTTTTTCTTTTAACCACAATCCCTTCTCCTTCATTTCTTGGTTCAGGACTCAGATTGTGCACTCAGTCATGCAAGATCCAGTTGCCTTAACCACCAGACCATGGGTTGGCCCAAGTATTGTTTTATTATTTCATTTTTCTCCTCTGTTGGCTTATTAACTGTAAGTCTTCCTTTCATAATTTTAGTGGTTGCTTTGGTGCTTATACATCTTTAACTTTTCACAGTTTACTTCTAAGTAATATGATAACACTTCCTACATGGTTGTGAAGTAGGCTTACTGTACAATGGTTATCAACTTCTCTGAGTCTGATGATATGAGGTACATGAAGAAGGTTTATTACTTACACATAGGCAGCAAGGGACAACTCTGAATTTGTTGCCAGCTAGTCTCCAAAGGCTTAGGAAAGTTGCTAGGGCGGATGGAGTCTCATTTGTCCATGCCCACTTGCACCACAATGGAAGGACTCCAGAAACCAGCCGGCTCTGGATTTTATCCAAGGGAGAAATGACTCAGTAGGCTAAAATGTTGGAGGGTATCCTATGTTTAGGACACACTAGCACAGAGCCTGGGCTGTTCTGGCCAGTTCCTTATCTCAGGATACTACATTTCCACTCCATTCTATAGTTATTTTTGAAAACTACCAACCAGAAAGTGGGAAAGAACTGAGTCAGTCCAAGCCACCAAGAGAACTATCCTGAAATGGTAAGAGAAACTTTCAGAAAATATTTTCCTTTCTGCTCCCAGACTTTGGGCTGTTGTTTCAGACATTCTTCTTCTATGTATATTGTACATGTCATACTCACTGTTGCGTGTGTTTTCATTTCGTTTGCTTTTTTTTTTTTTAGAGAGATTTTTGCTATAAGGCACGTGTACTCGACAGAGAGACAGAGAGACAAAGTGAGAAATCACCCCATGGGGGGTTGACCATACCACAATCTCTTCCCCTTCCTTCTCCTCTCGGGATTCTGGGCACACAGGCACACACATCCAGTGGGAGTTCAAGACCCCAAGGTCCAGGACTCAAACCACAGTCAATTATGTGGAAGTCCAGCAATGTAATCATTACGCCATCTGCTGGCCCCCCAATATATTCAATGTATAAATTAGCTAAACTCTTTAAAGATTAACCAACAGTTTAAAGCAAATAAAACAAAGGATCAGCAGATGTCATAATGGTTATGTTGCTGGACTCCCACATCGTTGACCACAGTTTAAGTCCCAGTCCGGGGGCTTGAAACTCACACTGGGCGCACGTGTGTGTGTGTGTGTGTGTGTGTGTGTGCCCAAGATCCCAAGGGAGAATAGAGGGGAAGAGGTTGTGGTGTGGCCATCTTCCCTGTAGGGTAATTTCTCACTTTCTGTCTCTTTGTCTCTCTGGCGAGTGCACACACCCTATAGCAAAACTCATAAACAATCTTTTTGTAATTGGATATATTGGTCCACAGAGTTACCGTTTCCAGTGCTCTTCATTCCATTGCCTAGATCCAAATCTCCATCTGATGTCATTTTCCTTCTATTTGCAGGCTTTCCACATTTTTTTTAGTACAATTCTGCTGATGAGGAATTATTTTGGCTTTTGTATATCTGAAAATGTCTATTTTTCCTTTGTTTCTGAATGACATTCTTGCTAAGTGTACTTTGTATTCCTTTCATTACTTTAAACATGCCCTATATTTCCATAAAATCAACTTTTTAGGGAACCAGCAGTTAGCGTAATGGCTATGTCGCTGGACTCCCACGTAGTCGACCGCGGTTCGTGTCCCGGACCCGGTGGCTTAGAACTCACGCCGGGCGCGTGTGCGTGCGTGCCCAAGATCCCGAGAGGAGAATGGAGGAGAAGGGATTGCGGCGTGACCATCCCCCCTGGGGGGTGATTTCTCGCTTTCTGTCTCTATGTCTCTCTCTGTCTGTCTGGCGAGCGCACGCGCCCTATAGCGAAAATCTCTCAAAAAAAAAAAATAAAATAAAATAAAAAAAAAAAAAATCAACTTTTTAAACTTCCACATATGAAAGAGAACACACAGTATTTCTCTTAATCTATCAGGTTCCATTCGAAGGTCTGTCCCATTCAATCCCCAGACCAGGAACCTGAACCTCCAAAGTCATCACCCACGACCCACGTACTCAGCCAGATCTGAGTCTGATACTGTCTTTGCCCTCTCACCCTCACCCCTCATTCCTGCCTTCCCCATCCAACTTTAGTCTCATCCCGCCACCTTTTCCCTATTTGCTTATTTTTTTCTCCTTTTTTCTTTTTATATAGAGAGGTTTTTGCTATAGGATGTGTATGCTCACCAGAAAGACAGAGACAGAGAGACAGAAAGTGAGAAATCACACCCCCCCCTCCAGAGGGGATGACCACACTGCAATCCCTACTCCTCCATTCTCAATCACACATGCCCAGCGTGAGTTTAAGTCACCAGGTCCGAGACTCGAACCGCTGTCGACTACATGGGAGTCCAGTGACCTAGCCATTACACCAACTGCTGGTCCCCCTATTTGTTTATTTAATAACAACTTTGAGCCAGGCTCTCTCCTGGACACTGAGGACATAGTAGTGACCTAGGCAAGAATGTTGAATGAAAGATCCCTAAATGCTGCCATTTGACAGGGCCCTGAGGCTGCTCTGGGTCTCACACCCACTTCTGAAGCACATCCAGGTCCCTGTCCTCGCCTAGAGGGCTCTCTAGAACTCCAGCCACAGTGTTTTCTGGGACATCTCACAAAACTTTCTTGCTCCTATGTCCCAAATTGATCCTCCCTTGCTACTTATTTTCTACCATCCCGATCTAGTGATGCGTGTCTCCCCACTGAACTGTGAGCTCCATGAGATGGGAACTGGGGTTCTCTCGGTCCCTGCAGTGTCCCCAGCATCACCCAGCCAGCGCAAAGCCGGCTCCACGAATGTTTATGGAATGGTAAGCAAGAAGGCATACCTGGAGGAATACATGCTAGAGAGATATTAGGGTTATGGTATCTGCCCTCTACCCCCCCCCAACACACACACACACACACACACACACACACACACACACACACCCAGAAGTCCTGCATCTGGGTTTCCGTCCTCCTTGGATGAGAGTCCCATTCTGTCGAGAAAATAAAGGGAGGAATTAAGGACATTTTGCCTCTTGGAGGACAGCTGGAGGTGAGCGGAAAGATGACGGGAGGAGAGCGGACGCCACCAGCTCTGCACGTCCTTTTCATCTCCCTCAAGGGTAGCCATCCGGGAGGAGTAACAGACCCAGCGGTATAGCACCAAGACCGGGCAGCGATCAGTAGTCTGCCAGGCAACCGCCGACGTCACGCTGGCGCGCTCGTGACGTCAGAGGCAGGCGCCGTAATTTAAGTTAGTGCAGGAGGCGGCGGCCGCAGCCGGGGCGCTGTCATGGAGTTAGTGCCTGAAGCGCGGGAACTGGGTTGCTGGGCGGCGGAAGAGATGGGGGTCCCCGCAGCAGCCCGGGCCCCGGAATCGACGCTGCACAGGTGAGGGCCGCTCCGGGAATAAGGAGTTCCACCTTGGAAAGCCTCCAGGAGTGAGAACTCCGCCCCTCATGGAGGATCCACACCACACACCGCCACCACCACCCCACCCCACCCCCGATTTACAATGACCTTGAGTTACTTAGGGCTTCCCACCCTGGTACGTTCAGGAACAGGATCCTGGATTTGAACGAGGACACCCTGGTGGTGACCCCCGCACTGCGACCCCCACCTTGCAAATCCCACCCAGAGTGAGATCCCCCGGCAGCAGTGAGGATCCCCCAGGAGTTAAAGAAGACCCCTCCCCGTGTGGAAGTAGGATCTCCAGAGTAAGGCTGCCCCTGCAGCACCTCACCATCACCCTAACCAGTGAGGACACCTAAGAGTTAGCAGTAATCCCCCTACTAGGGACCGCATCTATAGGCAGTGACCCACATTTGATCATGAGAGAGCACGTCATTTCCGCACACCCCTTACCCACACCTCTGGAAGTAAACTGAGTGAGCCCCCTCCTAGGAGAAGAGGAGTTCACTACCGGGAAATGAGAGCGCCCCATTCTTCCCCCAAAGAAATCAGCTTATCAAGGGGAATCTCTTATCCTCAAAAATACAGGCCATCCCTCCCCTGAGAAATGAGAACTCCCTAGTAGACGTTCCCCACCACCATTACCCTGGGAATGAGGATCCTCCACCCTGTATGATGCTCCCAGGCATCCCCTTACGCACTGTCACTGTCCCCACAGGCTGTGTCTGGGCCAAGGGACTGACATCTGGGCTTACGTCTTGCAGCATGTGCACAGTCAGAGGTGAGCTGGGCTGGAGTGGTGGGGGAGGCAGAGTAAGTCCCGCAGTAATTCCCTTTTTCTACTCTCCACTGTAGGACTGTCAAGAAGATCCGGGGAAACCTCCTCTGGTAAATACTTCTCAAAGCTATCCCTTTATATCTCTGTTAGTCTCATCTAGCCCTGTTCCCACCCACAGCCTCACCCTTTCCACCCTCCTCCCTGGAAGGCACAATGATCCCCTAATTCTGGTCTCGTTCCCTCAGGTATGACCACCAGGACAGTCCAGAGGTAAGAGGTGTATGCTACATGATTATTTTCCATCCAAAAAGTAACTTGTAGCTCTTCTGCTCCAGGCTTTGCTTAGTGCTGGGTGATGCTGGGGACACTAGGACATAAGACAGCGCTGATTCCTGCACTCACAGGGCTTATAGTCCAGGGGAACACAGCATGAGCTGTGGGGTGGGGCAGGGAGGACATGGATATGTGACATCAAAGAAGGTGAGGGGAGATGAAGGAAGGGACAGGCTTGGGAGAGATGCTGACTAGATGCAAGGGGCCCAGATGATACCTAGGCAGAGGCTGCCAGAAGACCCCAAATTCCTAGAAGAGATCAGAACTGGGACACAGAGGTAGGTGTCACCAGCATAGACAAAACAGTCTGGAAGGATAGGTAAAACAATCCCAGGAGGAAAGAGGGGGCCAGAATAATACCTTAGCATTTCCGCATCAGACATAGAAACCCTCTGTCACTCCCCAGCAGGTGAGGGGCCTGTTGCCCCTGAAAAGGCAGCCATGCCAGGCTGAGCCCTAGTCAGACCAAGCCTCTAACGCTGTGCCTGACCCCACCAGGTCCGTCGGAAGTTGGAGCTGAAAGCCGCTGTGGCCCGCCTACGGGCAGAGATCCAGGAGTTAGACCAGAGCCTGGAGCTGATGGACCGAGAGGCTGAGGCTCAGGGTGACCCATGGGGCCAGGAAGATGGGCAGCAGAATGAAGGGTGAGGAAGGTGCTGACAGCCACCTCTGTTCCTCCCACAGACGTGGCCATGGAGCAGACGCTGCAGAGCATGCGAGACACCAAGTGTCGAGCCCTCCTCCTCCGGGCCCGAGCTGGAGCTATGAGAAGACAGCAGCACGGTCTCCGAGATCCCACGCAGCGGCTGCAGAATCAGCTCAGGCGCCTGCAGGACTTAGAGAGGTGAGCCGCGGGTGTCCAAGGACCAGCCTTCATTAGGCTGGGCCACCAGATGTTCCCCTTAGACTCCACTTCTCTCTCCTGAGCCCTTCTGGAGTTCCAGAATCCTGAGCATCTATCTACCTTTAGGATTTAAGGCCCATGAGGTCAGGAAGTTTTGTCATCTCTGTCACCTGTATTTCCAGTGCCCAGAATGGTGCAATCGTGTGTCTGAACACCAGGTCTGGGCAAACATCAGTAAACAAGGGACAAGACAGGTCATAAACTGGGAAGCAAACGGACCCTATAATTTCAGATAGAGATAAGTTCTATGAAGAAAAAGTGAGATGATAGCAAGGGAAAGGGGGTGCCGCTGCAGCTAGAGTGCTTGGGAAGGCCTCTCTGAGGAGGTAGCATAGGAGCTGGGGGAGGAATTTCTATGGGGAGAAAATAACAAGAGCAGAAACCCTGAGCTTCCATGTGGGCAGAACAGTTCAGGCTGATTCACGTTTTACACGCGAGACAGAGAAAGAAAACACTGGGGCAGGGGTGGGAGTATAGTCAGAGGAGTAGACAGAGCACCATGGAGGCTTTGGAATCTACTCTGAGACTGGGCTCCTGCCCTGGCTTGGCCACTTACAACTGTGTGACCTTGGACATAGATTTTTTAAAAATGGATGGAATGGGGATACTATTAGTACCAACCTTATCGATAGGTGAGTTTAATCAGGCAGGTGCTTAGAAGAGTACCTGCTAATGCCTGCCATTCGTCTGAAAGGGATGGGAAGACATTGCATTGTTTGGAGGGGTTTGAGTGGTGGTTTTAACAGGATCATTGACTGCTGGGCAGGAGCAGGGCTACCAGAGAGGAGGCTAAAGCTAGTCCAGCCAGGAGATGACAGTGGCCTAATGTGGTAGTGGCCCTGGGATCCACACTCTGTGATCCTTGTGACTAGGCTTTGCTGGCAGTGAAAGGGACAGGGCACAGACAGGGACCCCAGCCCCAACTGCACTCCTTCCCCTCAGAAAGGCCAAAGTGGATGTGACCTTTGGACCTCTGGCAGCATCCCTGGGCCTGGAGCCTGCGATCCTGGTAAGAATGCGGGCCATGAGGAAAGGGGTGGAGAGTTCAGGCTCACATCTGGGTCCCCCTCATACCCCATCCTCTTCTTCTAGCTTGATGTTCGAACAGCCTGTTCCCTCCGGGCCCAGTTCCTGCAGAACCTCTTGACTCCCCAGGCCAAGGGAGGCAGCATTCTGTGAGTGTCCCCCAGCCCTAGAGACCTTGGGCTTTTGTCAGTGGGGCACCGGTTTGCATGTTGATTAAGTCCTCAGACACTGAGCTTCTGGGCTCTGATAAGTCCCAGGACCTGCCCTACCAGGGCTTCCAGACCTGGAGGAGGAGGAGACAGACCCATCAAAGACTGAGGCAACTAAGTGGTGAGGGGTGTTGGGGCATAGGGAAGCCTGAGCGGCTCTGGGCACCCAGAGGAGGTGCTTTACCCAGCTAAGAAGGCAGTGAGTGGATGGGTTCTTAGTGAGTAGAAGGAGGCTTAGCTAGAATAAAGGGTCAAGAGGGTATCCAGGTGGGCCAGCAGGTGGCATGGGAGTTAAAATGTTGTACTTCCATATGGCTAGCCATGGTTTGAGTCCTGGACCTGGTGGCTTGCTTTCTCATTTTACCTTTCTCTCTCTTGCCCTCTTTCTCTCTCTGATATACGTACATGCCCAACTTAAAAAAAATTAATAATAATAGGGGCCAGCAGGTGGCATGGTAGTTAAGGTACTAGACTCCCACATGGCCAACCATGGTTCAAGTCCCAGACCAGGCAGCTTGCTTTTTTACTTTCTCACTCTCCCTTGCTCTGGTGTGCACACGTGCCCTGTAGCAAATTTTAAAATAATAGTAAAGAAAATTAAATAAATAATTCTTAAAAAAAAAAAAAAGATGATACATTAAATAATTTTGAAAAAAAGGAAGAATCCGAGTCTAGCAGGCGTAGGTGAGGTTTTCTCATCTGTAAAATGGGAACAGTCACAGCCTGTGCCTTGCAGGGTGATGGGAATAATTAGAGGGATCGTTGGTATGTCTTTTAACATTCTCTGTCCCTTTACCCAACCCCACAGAACTCCTCACAGTGACCACTTTGGAACCTCCTACCAGCAGTGGCTGAGCTCAGTGGAGGTGAGGGGGCGTGTTCTCAGGAAAGTCCACACCCTCTAGCACCGTGATTAAGCCTCAGGGTGCCAGGACTAACTCTTGGTCCGTGCTCCATTCCCACGGGGTTCCAGCTCACAGCCTGCTCTGTGAGCCCCGACATCCTGCCCTGACTTCACCCCATCTCCCTCTCCCCCCCAACCCCCGCCCAGACACTGCTGACAAACCACCCCCCGGGCCACATCCTGGCTGCCCTGGAGCACCTGGCTGCAGAGCGGGAAGCAGAGATCCGTTCCCTGTGCAGTGGAGATGGGCTCGGAGATGTGGAGACATCCAGGTGTGGAGCGGAGTGTTGCTGCCCTCGAGGCAGGGCAGGCGAGTGGGTGAGCTGGGACAGGTCAAGGCCAGGCACAGTGACCTGCTGATAGGGTGGAGCTGAAACCCAGTGCCCAGTGCGGCAGGCCCAGAGCCATGTACCATGGCAAAGACCCAGGGTTCTCCCTCAACAGCTTTGCCTCTCTCCCAGGCCCCAGGCCCCAGACCAGTCTGACTCCAGCCAGACCCTGCCATCCATGGTGCAGCTCATCCAGGTAACACCCTGGCACCCTCCCAAGCCTCCCCTGCCCTCCCATCCCTGCTAAAGCCCCTTACCAGCACAGACCATGCCCATTCTGACTTTGCTCCACCCCCAGGAGGGCTGGCAGGCCGTGGGTGCGCTGGTCACCCAGAGGGGCACCCTCCTGAAGGAGCATCAAGTCCTGACCCAGCGCCTCCAGGGCCTGGTAGAGGAGGTGGAGAGACGTGCCCTGGGACCCAGTGAGAGGTGAGAGTGCTCCTTCAGCAGAGTTCCCTAGGTCATCCCTCCCAGCTGTCAGGATATAGGGCTTTTTCTGCCCCCAGGACTCCTGTCTCTGCCTCCTTTTCCTCGAGGTTTGTCTCCCTGTGTCTCTGGCTCCTGGTGCATCCGCACAGGTCTCATCTCCCTCCCACAGCAAGTCTCGGTCACCTTCCTCTCCTTCGTTCTCTTGCTGGTCCCTAGGCAGTCACTGATGCTGGGGCTCCGGGCCTGTGGCCTATGGGCAGAGCTCAAGGCCCTGCGTGCACAGAGCCAGGAGCTGGAGGATGCAGCTGGCCACCGCCAGCTTCTGCTGAGGGAGCTGCAGGCCAAACAGCAGCGGATCCTACACTGGCGCCAGCTGGTGGTAAGAGGCGGGGACCTGAGGAGCCCAGAGTGGAGGCTCTAACACTCCACTCACGATCAGTTGGGAACTGGGCTCCCTGAAGGGCAAGGGCCGAGGAGAACCGTGAGGGAAAAGGACCTGTGGGCTGGGAAGTGGGAAGGAAGAGCACTAGTCTTGGTGGCCCCGGGATCCCCAGGAGGAAACACAGGAACAGGTCCGCCTGCTCATCAAAGGAAACTCAGCCAGCAAGACTCGCCTAAGCCGGAGCCCTGGGGAGGTGAGATGGGAGTTGGGGTGGGCTGTGAGGAGGGCTGAGCCGGCTAGGTCCAGGGCTAGGTGGACTCAGGCTGCCCCGCCATTCCCTTCGCTTCCCTGCAGGTGCTGGCTCTGCTTCAGCGGAAGGTGGTCCCCACCTCAGAGGCCGTGGCACCACAGAGCCAGGAGCTGCTTCGCAGTCTGGAAGAGGAAGCCCGGCATCTGCCCCACCTTCCCCTGGGTGCCCTACTGCGGCACAGCCCTGAAGGGTGAGAGTGGGGCCCCTACATCCCTAGCCAAGATGACTGTCACTCCCTGAACCGTCAAAAATCACCTGACCCCAAGTGTTCCCAGGCCATCAGACCTCTCCTTGGGCCCCCAGATCTTCTAGAATGTGAACCCTCCCCTCAGTGCCCCACCTAGCCCACACCTTTACCTCCCAGGTTGAAGCCTCTGCCCACAGTCCTACCGTCCATCCACCAGCTGCACCCCACAGCCCCGAGGGGTTCCAGCCTCATAGAGCTGAGTCACATGCTAGGGCTGCCCGCAGGGAAGGTGAGTGCCTGCCCCCTCTGACATGCCTCCTCCCCCCTCCCTGCCCTACCCGAGGTGACTGCCCTCCCTCCTCCCTGCAGGCACCAGAGCTGCTCCTCCCAGCAGCTGCCTCTCTTCGCCAGGACCTTCTGTTCCTCCAGGACCAGCAGAGTCTCCGGTGCTATGATCTGCTCCACATGAAGACGAGCCTGCCGCCAGGACCGTCTACCCAGGGTAGGCCTGCCTACCCCGGACCTAGCTTCCCTACCTGTTCCTTGCACTGTCACCATCACTTACGCAGGGTTTACTGTGTGCCAAGTGCCTTAAACACACGCACGTGTTTAACCCACATAGCAGGCCCATAGGTAAGCACTGCTGCCCTCCCCGTTGTTACAGAAAAGAGGATTGGGGTGCAGAGGGCTCAGTAATTTGCCCAAACGGCAGAAGTGGGACTTGGAAGGAGGTTGTTGTTATTTTTAAAGAATTATTTATTTAATTTTATGTATCATTATTATTTTTTTTTAATTTGCTCCAGGGCATGTACATTCACCAGAGAGAGACAGAGACAGAGTCAGAAAGAGAGAGAAGGAAAGTGAGAAAGCAAGCCCCCAAGTCCTGGACTTGAACTGTAATTAGCCATGTGGGAATCCAGCGCCCCAGCCAGCATGCCACCTGCTTGCCCCCAGAAGTGGGATTTGAATCCAGGTAGTCTGACATGAGTCTATGCTACTAACCACTGGGCAACACTGCTCATCAAATTACCAAGTACTCATTTGTCACTATCAAATAGTAGGAAGGGTCTTCAAAAAGTTCATGAAATATGAATATTATGGAAAAACTATGCATGAACTTAACATTTTTTGGTGCCAAAATAAACTCATACTTTAATTTCAGTTTTACACCAAATTTTCAAAGTACCCTTAACTTCAGTAGTTAAAAGCTGGGCTCTGGGGCCAACATGTGGCACCGAAGTTAAGGCAACTAGATCCCACATGGCCAACAGCATGGTTTGAGTCCCAGACCCAGGAGCCTGAAAATCAGGCTAGGCTCCTGGGCATCCTGAGAGGGGAAGGGGAAAGGGATTGCAGCATGGCCATCAGCACCCCGTTGGGGAGAAGGGGTGATTTCTCACTTTCCCTCTCTCTCTATAGCAGATACATGTTCCCTATAGCCAAAACCTTAAAAAAAAGAACAGCTGAGTTGATGAGAAATGGATTGGGAGTGCCATCAGCAAAGAGACCGTTCTTGGGCCTTAGAGCCTGGGCTCCTGCCACCCACCTCTCCACAGGAAGGAGCACAAACAGTGTGGAATAGCAGGAGCAGTCCAAGATACGGCACAGCCTCCTCCACTCAGGAGCTCTTAGTTCCCTCTACTCCAGAAAATCATTTTATTTTTCTTCCTCTTAGTTGCCTCCGCCAAGAAATTAGCCACCTCCTCATCCAGATGCTGCAGCTAAAAATCTAAGAGTAGTTCTTTTTTGAAAAAAAGACTTATTTTATTATTTAACTTTATTTATTTATCCATTTTTTCATTTGACCAGAGAGGGACAGAGTGAGAAAGAAAGAGAGAGAAAGCAAGCCGCCAGGTCCGGGACTCAACCGTGGTCGGGCGTATATGAGTTCAGTGCCCCTAACCACCACACCACCTGCCAGTCCCAGGAAACCTAAGAGTAGTTCTTAATACCTCCCAATTCCCTAATCCCCCATCAGCTTGTCGGCAAGCCATCTAGGCCCCATCTCCAGGGCTGTCCAGTCTGTCCCCACCCTACCAGCCTACAGCTCAGATATGTCCTCATCTGACAGCAGATGTCACTGAAGAAAGGATAAGGGTCATGGTCGAGGTCTCAAGGCCAGGAAGGGGTGGAGTCAGGAGTCAGGCCCAGAGGTCTCACCACACTGCCATTCCGCACTCACCTTGATCTAGGCCTTGTTTGGGGCACAGGAAGAGGGACTCAGCCCAGCCACAGCCCAGGGAGAACACCATTACAGTGAAGGGCTAGAGCAGCTGAGGAGAAAGCCTTGGGAGGAGGAATGCTAGGAAGGGCGTCCCAAAAGGAGGACAGTGTCTCGTGTGGCAGAGGCCACGTAATGCAATTCTCAAATACCAGGCTGAGGATGTGACTCTGTCTTGGGGGGCTCTGGGGGACCTTGGAGGGGTCTAAGCAGGGGAGGGAGATGACCAGATTTAGATTTCAGGAAGATCACTCTAGCTGCTATGTGGAGGGTGGACCAGAGTGGCAGACTGAGGCCTGGAGTCTAGAAAGGAGGCTGAGGGGAAAGTAGTGGGGAAGAAGAAATGCTCAGAAAGCTCAGTGGATGGGTCCTGGAGATTGGTGAGCTCAGGGGAGAAGGAACCCTCCCAGGATGAGGCCTGGGGGTGATCCTGTGAGACGAGGTCCCGGGAGGAAGGATGAGATTGGGGAGATGCCAAGGTCAAGACTAGGTGACCAGAAGCATGGTGACCCACTGGCTGCAAGGCATCGGCAAGCCAGCGAACTCAGCTGCCTCCTGGTTTCTGACCTCCAGAGCTGCTGCAGATCCAGGCATCCCAGGAAAAGGAGCAGAAAGAGAGTCTGGGGCAAGCTCTGACGAGGCTGGAGAACCTGCTGAAACAGGCGCTGGAGCGGATCCCTGAGCTGCAGGGAGTCGTGGGGGACTGGTGAGAAGGGCACATGCTGGGGTGGAGAAGTGAGCTGGGTGGAGCAGTCAGGACTCCGGCCTGGAGCGCCAGGTCTTGTTGCTCATGCCTTGTCCTTCCCCAGGTGGGAGCAGCCAGGCCAAGCCGCTCTCTCTGGCGAGTTCCGCCAGGGCCTGTCTCTATCCCAGTGGCAGCTGCGCTGGGTCCAGGCCCAAGGAGCCCTGCAGCAGCTATGCAAATAAAGAAGAATCCCAAACGGGAGTCAAAGGCTTCAGATTTGTTTAGCCCAACACCATTTTCTACAATAAAACATTTAGACGAAAGCATCCCCAGGGTCTGCCTGCCCATCTTCTCTGCCCGTGCCCACAAAGCCCCTCACATGCTGTTCTGCTCCTCTTAATGACCTTACCGCAGTCTCTTCAGCCCACCAAAACCAAAAGAATGGAGTGCTCCTGATCCCACCCTGGGTGCCCTTGAAACTTTGTTCCTCACTTTTACCCTCAGCAAAACGTCACTGAGCACCTCCTCAAGGGGCTGGGGGTACCGCACTGAACAATACAGTCAGAAGGCCCTGCTGACGTTTAGGGCAGGGAGACACAATTAACAGGGTAAGTAAGCAAAACAGAGAGAATGTTGGAATGTCACTGCTGTGGAAACAGAAGCAGGGTGTAGCAAGTGTGACTGAAATAGAGGGCTACAGGGGCCAGCAGGTGGTGTGGTGGTTAAGGCTCTGGACACTTCAACATGGCTGACCATGGTTTGAGTCCCAGACCTGATGGCTTGCTTTCTCACTTTCCCTCTCTCTTTCTCTCTGGTCAAATTAAAATAAATGAATGGATAAATAAAATTAAATGAACAATTTTGGGGACCAGCAGGTGGCGCAATGGTTAAGGTGCTTGGCACTCCCACAGTGGCCAATCATGGTTCGAGTCCCAAACCTGGTGGCTTGCTTTCTCACTTTCTCTCTCTCTGTCTCTATCTGGTCAAATTAAAAATAAATGAATGAATAAATAAAATGGAATAAACAATTCTTTTTTAAAAATTAAAAATAGAGGGCTACACTGCAGAAGTCACATTCTATAAAGGCAGTGAGCCGGTGCCACATGGGTACCTGAGAAAAGGGCTGGCAGATGAGGCCTCTGCACATGCAAAGGCCCAGTGTTGGAATTGGCTAGTGTGAGGACCGTGGAGCAGGCCAGTGTAGTAGTATGTGTGTGGTGGGGGTGGGGGTGGGGGTTAAAAGATGAGATTATCTTCTAGTTTTTATGTAGTTTTGTTTTTTGGGTTTTTTTTTTTTTTTTTTGAGAGGTTTTCCATATAGGGCGCATGCGCTCGCCAGACAGACCAGAGAGGGACATAGAGACAGAAAGCGAGAAATCACCCTCCCAGGGGGGATGGTCACACTGCAATCCCTTCTCCTCTCGGGATCTTGGGCATGCATGCACATGCACCTGGCGTGAGTTCTAAGCCACCGGGTCCGGGACGCGAACCGCAATTGATTATGTGGGAGTCCAGCAACATAACGCTAACTGCTGGTCCCTGTAGTTTTATTTTTTACATTGAAATCTGAGTCATTTGAAATGTATCCTATCAAATAGAACCCATTGGGTCTTATTTTACATATATGAGGATCTCTAAAAGTTCATGGAATGTGCATATTATGAAAAACTATGAATGAATTTCAATTTTTTGCACCAAAATAAACTCATATTTTATGTTTTGTGTGAACTTTTCAAGTCCCCTTGTTTGTCCCAATAGCACTTGCTAAAATTCCTAGTCCAAGCAGCATTTGTCTCTGGGGAAGGGGTAGGTGGCAGAGACCATCTGAGGAGGTGAGGAAACTCTCTAAGATCATGGGCATGTATGCGGTGGAGACTGCCGGGCCTTATGCTGGCGGAGAGATTTGTCAGAAATTGGCTGTGCTCTTACGGCCTTTCCACTTCACTAAGTGGGTTATTCAGTTTATAAAGGAAATTTTACCTACAGGTTTGAGAGGCCACATTCTTTTCGTCCTTCCTTCCTTTTCCTTCCTCCTTTCTTTCCTTTTGCGCTCTCTTTCTTTCCTTTTTTCTTTTCTCAGGTTTTTGCCATAGGGTGTGTGTGCTCACTCAAGGGAGACAGACAGAGAGAAGGTAAGAAATCACCCTCTAGGGGAGATGGCCACACTGCAATCCCTTCATTCTCTTAGGATTTGGGGCACATGAACATATGAGCCCAGTATGATTTTCTTGCCACCAGGTTTGAGACGCAAATCACAGCCATAAGGGAGCCCAGCACCTTAACTACCATGCCACCTGCTGGCCCCGAAGTGCCACCTTTTCGTATGCTACATTTGTATGTTTAATTGAGCTGTGTCTGCCTTCTCTCCAGACCAGTCGTTTATCTAACTCGCCATGTACCATTCTTTAATGACGTCGACTTGGTAATACATTGTGGTATCCAAAATGGCTGGTTGTCCTCTTTTCAAAATTTTGCTGTCTCTCTTTGGTAATGTTTTCTCCCAAATAAAGTGAACTATATGCTTTATTTGCCTGGCCATAGGAGAAAGCCAACCATGGATTGTAGTTTTACTGGTGTCACAGTAAGTTTACACATCTGTGCGATTTCATGTCTTTATGGGCTTGAACCTTGCCATCTACCTCCCTCCTTACCACTCTTGTCATAGCCTCCAGGACCCCCTCACTGTCCTGACTTTCCTCCTATCCTTGGCTAGTCTCCCTGTCTGTGTACCTTTGCTTTTCTATGGACAGTCCTTAGTGCTCCCCCCAGGTGCAGTAAGGGGAGTTGTTGATAAATTTGACAACATTAAAGATAAACCACATGGTAGTGTTTGAGGCTGGAGCCACATGGAAGGTCCAAGTTCAGTACCCAGGGACCAGCAGTTAGCGTAATGCCAATGTTGCTGGACTCCCACGTAGTTGGCTGTGGTTCAAGTCCGGTGGCTTAAACTCACGCCAGACATGTGTGCGTGCGTGCCTAAGATCCCAAGAGGAGAATGGAGGAGAAGGGATTGCCGCGTGGCTGTCCCCTCTGGGGGGTGATTTCTTGCTTTCTGTCTCTCTGTCTCCCTCTGTCTTTCTGGCGAGCACACGCGCCCTATAGCGAAAACCTCTCCAAGTTCAGTACCCAAACTAGTCTAGATATGCCAGGTGCAGTGGTACACACCTGTATCTTAGCAGACTGGGAGGCTGGAGCAAAAGGATCATGACATTGCAAGTCCCTGTCAAAAATACATAATGAGGGGCCAGCAGGTGGTATGGTGGTTAAGGCGTAATAATAAAGTTCTTTTTAAAAAATACATATTGACCTATTTCACCCTCCTGCAAAAATAAATAAGAATAAACTTGGGGGGCTAGTAGGTGGCATGGTGGTTAAGGTGCTGGGCTCCTACATGACTGACAGCAGTTTCAGTCCCAGACCTGGCAGCTTGAAAATCACAGTGGGTGCATGTGCATGAGTGCCCGAAATCCCAGCAGCAGAGTGGAGAAGGGATTGATTGTGTCCTGGCCATCCCCTCTGGGGGATGATTTCTCACTTTCCCTCTCACTGTTTGTCTGGTGAGAGCATCCTCCCTATGGTAAAAACCTAAAAACAAAATAAAAATAAATGTCGTGACCAAAAGCATGAGTAAAATACAAAGAAATTACAGCCTGGACAAAAATATTTGCAACTGGGACCAGCAGTTAGCATAATGGCTATGTCGCTGGACTCCCATGTAGTCAACCGCAGTTCGAGTTCTGGACCCAGTGGCTTAAAGTCAGGCTGGGGGTGCGTGTGCGTGCGTGCCCAGGATCCCGAGAGGAGAATGGAGGAGAAGGGATTACAGCGTGGCCAACCCCTCTGGGGGGTGATTTCTCGCTTCCTATCTCTCTGTTCTCTCTCTGTCTTTCTGGCGAGCGCACGCGCCCAATAAGAAAAAAACGACCTCTCAAAAAAAAAAAAAAAAGAATAAAAAACGACCTCTCAAAAAAAAAAAAAAGAATAAAAAAATTTGCAACTTATCTGATAAAGGTGTGTTTGTGTCTATATAATGTCAAACTGGGAAAGAAAATTTCCAACAAGTTCATTGGAAAATGGGTAATGCTCAGAAAAGCTGGTCAAGGTCAACTATAATAAGAGAAAAGCAAACTAAACTCACACTTTCATGCATTTCCCATCACACTGGCAAAAAAGGGAAGCCACAATTTTTTTGGAGAGATTTTTTTTTTTCTGCTTTAGGGTGCGTGTGCTCGCCAGACAGACAAAAAGAGACACAGAGACAGAAAGCAAGAAATCACCCCCCCCCAGGGGGGATGGCCACGCCGCAATCCCTTCTCCTCCCAGGATCTTGAGCACGCACGCACACGGCATGAGTTTTAAGCCACCGGGTCTGGGACACGAACCACGGTTGACTACGTGGGAGTCCAGTGACATAGCCATTATGCTAACTGCTGGTTCCCATGGGAAGCCACAATTTTGCCAGCTCACTCTATTGGCAAGGCTATGGCAAAATGGGCAATATGGGTCACTTGTGGCTAATCAGAGGAACTACGTGTGCATTTTTTCTTTGCCCAATCAACCCCCCTTTTAGGAATCTATCCCAGAAAATTGGGTGAAATACAGGTTGTAGGACCTTGTATAAAACAACTGGCCCACATTCTACAGGTCAGTGGAGGCTGAGTAGGGACTGTTTGGGGTTAAAAGAGACAACAGTCGGGCCAACAGGTAGCATAGTGGTTAGGGCACCAGACTCCTACATGGCTAACCACGGTTCAAGTACCAGATCTGGCAGCATGAAGATCACACCAGGCACCTGTGTGTGCCCAAAGTCCTAGGAGAATGGTGGGGAAGGCAGGAGTTTGGTTACCCCCCTGGGGGGCAATCTCTCAATTTCCCTCTCATTGCCTGTCTTTCCCTGGTGAGCACATGGGCCCTATGACAAAAAAAAAAAAAAAAAAAAATTAAAAATTAAAAACAGCAATGTGGGCTCTTGATTGGATCATAGTTTTTGTTGTTGTTGTTTTAATGTTTGTTTTGGGAACAACCAAGAAATTTGAATATGGGATACAGGAGAAATTTGCATATTAGAAATACTGTTGTATCTTAAGTTTCGTTGGTAGGATAATGGTATTGAAGTTAGGTGGAAGAAGTTCATAGAGGACGTGTGTTAAAGTCAAGGGTAGGGGCTGGCAGGTGGCATGGTGGATAAGGGCACTGGATTCCCACATGGCTGACTGCAGTTTGAGTCCCTTTCTTGGTTTTCCTTTATCTCTCTGTCATTC